TGAAGATATCAATGAGATACATATCATCTGATATATCATTTAAGACTTGTGTTTCCTTATTAATTTTCTGTTTTGATGATCTGTCCATTGGTGTGAGTGGGGTTTTAAAGTCTCCTACTATTACTGTGCTATTATCAGTTTCTCCTTTTATGTCTGTTAGTGTTTGTCTTATGTATTGAGGTGCCCCTATTTCAGTGCATAGATACTTATAATTGTTATGTCTTCCTCTTGGATTGATCCCTTGATCCTTATGTACTGTCCTTCCTTATCTCTTGTAATCTTCTTTATTTTAAGGTCTATTTTGTCTGATATGAGGATTGCTACTCCAGCTTTCTTTTGCTTCCCATTTGCATGGAATATATTTTTCCATCCTCTCACTTTCAATCTATATGTCTTTAGGTCTGAAGGGTGTTTCTTGTAGACAGCATATATGGGTTTTGTTTTTGTATCCATTCAGCCAGTCTGTGTCTTTTGGTTGGAGCATTTAATCCACTTACATTTAAAGTAATTATTGATATATATGTTCCTATTGCCATTTTCTTAATTGTTTGGGGTTTGTTTTTGTAGATCTTTTTCTTCTCTTGTATTTCTTGACTATGTAAGTCCATTTAACATTTGTTGTAAAGCTGGTTTGGTGGTACTGAATTCTCTTAACTTTTGCTTGTCTGAAAAGCTTTTGATTTCTCCATCAATTTTGAATGAGATCCTGGCTGGGTACAGTAATCTTGGTTGTAGATTTTTCTCTTTCAATACTTTTAACTATATCCTGCCATTCCCCTCTGGCCTGCAGAGTTTCTGCTGAAAGATCAGCTGTTAAGCATATGGGGTTTCCCTTGTATGTTATTTGTTGCTTTTCCCTTGCTGCTTTTAATATTCTTTCTTTGTGTGTTTAGTCTTTGTCTGTTTTAGTACATGTTGTGGCGTATTTCTCCTTGGGTTTATCCTTTATGGGACTCTTTCTGTCTCTTGGACTTGATTAACTATTTTCTTTTCCTTGTTGGGAAAATTTTCAACCATCATCTCTTCAGACATTTCTCATACCCCTTCTTTTTCTCTTCTTCTTCTGGGACCCCTTTCGAATGTTGGTGCATTTGATATTGTCCCAGATGTCTCTGAGACTATCCTCAATTCCTGTCATTCTTTTTACTTTATTCTGCTCTTCAAAAGTTATTTCCTCCATTTTATCTTCCAGCTCACTGATTCATTTTTCTGCTTCAGATATTGTGCTATTGGTCCGTTCTAGAGTATTTTTAATTTCAGTAATTGTTTGTCTCTGTATGTTTATTCTTTAATTCTTCTAGGTCTTTGTTAATTGATTCTTGCATTTTCTCCATTTTGTTTTCAAGGTTTTTGATCATCTTTACTATCATTATTCTGAACTCTTTTTTCAGGTAGTTTGCCTATTTCCTCTTCATACATTTGAACTTCTGTGTTTCTAGTTTCTTCCTTCATTTGTGTAATACTTTTCTGCCTTTTCATTATCTTTTTTTAACTTACTGTGTTTGAGGTCTCTTTTCCAGTCTTCAAGGTTGAATTCTTTCTTCCTTTTGGCCCTGGTAAGTTTGGTCCAGTAGTTTGTGTAAGCTTCGTATAGGGTGAAATTTGTGCTGAGTTTTTGTTTGTTTGCTTGCTTGTTTATTTTTCCTCTGATGGGCAAGGCTGAGTGAGGTGGTAATCCTGTCTGCTGATGATTGGGTTTGTATTTTTGCTTTGTTTATTGTTTAGATGAGGCATCCTGCACAAGCTGTTACTGGTAGTTGGGTGATTCTGGGTCTTGTAGTCAAGTGGTTTCCTTTGTGTAAGTTCTCACTATTCGATACTCCCTAGGGTTAATTCTCTGGTAGTCTAGGGTCTTGGAGTCAGTGCAGCTACTCCAAAGGCTCAGGGCTTGATCTCTCTGATGACACATTCAGTGGTGGAGAGGTGGAGTTTCCTTCTGGACATGATCCCCTCAGCATCCTCCCCTCCTCCCCAGCCAGGGAGATCACCAGACGTGTACTGGTCAACCTGCTTTGCCCTGGCCTCGCTTATCAGGGTGGCCCAGGTACCAGAAGAAGGTGGCCACAGCAGCCTGGCCTCAAATCCCACAAACTTGAGATGCGGGCCACTGGCCACTCTTTCCAGAGGTGCCCAGTCCAGAGCACCCACAACCATGAATCAGGGAAGCAACGCAGGTTGCTGCAGGCTGCGGCTGCTGATTATATATCTTTTTTTCTGATTTTTGCTTTATGTTCTTTGTTTCTTTGTTGTTAGATGTCTAATGGTTTATGATGTCTATTTTCTTTGTGAATTGTACCTTTTGTTGTTAAAAATATTCATCCTTGTTTCATTTAAAAATAAATTAATTCTAAAAAATTGTCCTTTCCTAATCTTGTTAAATGTATTTAACCCAAACTCATACTTCCCCTTTCTTCCCAGACACTTCACCACTTAATCTGTAAATACTTCTCACTGGAGAAATACTGATTTAATTGATTATGGGTTACTGCCCATGATATAACTGCTTTCTTGGGCTATTATACCTACCTCCTAAAAACGTGAATTCCAAAACATTATTTTTCTAACATCTAAGGAAATTCTGAGTTCAAAATTAATCTAAAACCTGCCTAATGGGTTTTAGATGAATAATTAGAGTCCTGTATATATGCATATTCACATATATCCACACATATCTTTTTTCTTATGAAAGTGGAAATGAAGTTGCTCAGTTGTGTCTGACTCTTTGCAATTCCATGGACTGCTGCCTACCACACTCCTCTGTCCATGGCATTTTCCAGGCAAGAGAACTGCAGTGGGTTGCCATTTCCTTCTCCGGGGATCTTCCTGGCCCAGAGATCGAACCCGGGTCTCCTGCATTGCAGGCAGATACTTTATTGTCTGAGTCACCAGGAAAGCCCATAATATTATTCTTTTGTTCTATTTTTGTGCTTTTTTCTATTAACCATATAAAGTTCTTTCCATATTAGCATAAATAGAGCTACCTAATATTTAACTGTTGCAAAGTATAACATTGTATGGATACAGCATAATAAGTTGTGGTTATGATAAATATTTAAATCCCTACTGTAGATAAGTGCAGCAAGGAACAGTCTTATTCATGGATCTTTTTGTAGTTGTAAAAGAATATTTGCTTCTGAGGTAGGGTTGTTGAGTCTATGATTATATACAACTACATTTTTGATGGGTATTATTAAATTACCCTCCAAGAGCCTTCACTAATTTATACTCCCATGGACAGTTTGACTGTTTCCTCACACTCTCACTAGTATTATCAAACTTGCAAACTTTTGACCATCTCCTAAATGAAAATGGGTATCTTATTATCATTTAATTTTGTGTGTGTATATACATATACATATATATATAATTTTAACTATGAGTGGGGTTGAGCAATTTTTAAAGTTTCTTAGCCATTTGTTTTTTTTTTCAAGTCTACACTCCAACTTTTTTAAAAATATTGAGCTATTTTTAAAGCTTCCTTGAAAACTGTATTCTTTATACTACCCATAAAGTTTTATATATATAATTATATAAAATTCATGATACATAAAGTTTAGTATAACATTCAATAACTTTATACTATAAAATTCTCCATCAGTTCAGTTCAGTCACTCAGTCATGTCTGATTCATTGTGACCCCATGGACTGCAGCACGCCAGGCCACCCTGTCCATCACCAACTCCTGGAGTTTACTCAAACCCATGTCCATTGAGTTGGTGATGCCATCCAACCATCTCATCCTCTGTCATCCCCTTCTCCTCCTGCCTTCAATCTTTTCCAGCATCAGGGTCTTTTCAAATGAGTCAGTTCTTCACATCAGGTGGCCAAAGTAGTGAAGTTTCAGCTTCAGCATCAGTCCTTCCAATGAATATTTAGGACTGATCTCCTTTAGGATGGACTGATTAGATCTCCTTGCAGTCCAAGGGACTCTCAAGAGTCTTCTCCAACACCACAGTTCAACAGCATCAATTCTTTGGCACTCAGCTTTCTTTATAGTCCAACTCTCACATCCATACATGACCACTGGAAAAACCATAGCTTTGACTAGACGGACCTCTGTTGGCAAAGTAACATCTCTGCTTTTTAATATGCTCTCTAGGTTGGTCATAACTTTCCTTCCAAGGAGTAAGCATCTTTTAATTTCATGGCTGCAGTCACCATCTGCAGTGATTTTGGAGCCCCCCCAAAATAAAGTCTCTCACTGTTTCCCCATCTATTTGCCATGAAGTGATGGGACCAGATGCCATGATCTTCGTTTTCTGAATGTTGAACTTTAGGCCAACTTTTTCACTCTCTTCTTTCACTTTCATCAAGAGGCTCTTTAGTTCTTCCTCACTTTCTGCCATAAGGGTGGTATCATCTGCATATCTGAGGTTATTAATATTTCTCCTGGCAATCTTGATTCCAGCTTGTGCTTCATCCAGTCCAGCATTTCTCATGATGTACTCTGCATGTAAGTTAAATAAGCAGGGTGACAATATATAGCCTTGACGTACTCCTTTCCCAATTTGGAACCAGTCTGCTGTTCCATGCCAATTCTAACTGTTGCTTCCGGACCTGCATACAGATTTCTCAGGAGGCAAGTCAGGTGGTCTGGTACTCCCATCTCTTTAAGAATTTTCCAGTTTGTTGTGATCCACACAGTCAAAAGTTTCATATATTAAGATAATTAGTGTATTTCATCGTATATAATACACACATTTTCTATGGCTTATAATTTGTCTTTTAACCTTTAACCTTGTTAACTACAATAGTTATAGTTATGTTTGAGTTTTTATACAATTAAATTTATCCATTTTTATCTTAATGAGTTCCAGGTTCTGTGCAATGTATAGGAAGGACTTTCCAAACTAAGTTGCTACTATAAAAGTGATCTCTTCCATTATGTTATTAAACTGGTTACTGTTTGCATATAGGAAACCTATTGATTTTTTAATATTTGTATGATTAATAAGAAGATGATTCTACTTGTAAAAGTATTTACAGTAATCAAACATTACCTTTGGAAGTCCAGAAGTTCACTTGCAACATCTGTTCCAATACTACCAGCACCAATTAATATTTCTGTAGATGTTCCAGGCACACTAATAAAAGACTGTCTAGAGGATCCTAAATCATAACAAAAGATTCAAATGAGGACTTTAAAAGGTATATAACTTGGTCAATATATTTTTTTCAATTCAAATATATTTCCTATTTCCCTCTTTAAAAGAAACAAACCAGCTGCATCCTAAAACGTTGGAAACATTACTGTTTACATTAAACATTCTCATGATGGTTTAAGATGCTCATAAAGACTGATACGAATCAAGTATGTGGGAAGTCACTGAGAGGTCACTCATGACCTGTGACCCTTGAGTACAGACAGTCCCGTCGCACTTTAACATCCACACTAAAGGCAGAGCAATGCTATTTTTTTCTTTTATTGAGGTATAGTTGATTTATAATATTGTTAGTTCCCAGTGTACAGCAAAGTGATTCAGTTGTACATATATATGTGTATCTATATTCTTTTCCAGATTCTCTTCCATTATAGGTTATTACAAGATATTACTACAGTTCCCTGTGCTATATAAGAAATTCTTATTATTTTACATATAGCTATGTGTATCTGTTAATTCCATACTCCTAATTTAACCCTCTCAACCCCGCTATTTCCCCTGTGGTAACCATAAATTTGCTTTCTATGTCTGTGAGTCTATTTCTGTTTTATAAATATGTTTATGTGTATTATTTTTTTTAGATCCCACCTATAAGTGATATCATAAGATTTGTCTTTCTCTGACTTACCTCACTTATTATGAGAATCTCTGGGTCCATCCATATTGCTGCAAATGGAAATGTTTCATTCTTTTTTATGGCTGAATAGGACTCTACTTTTAATATTTCCTAATATGTTAGTTTTTCTTAATGCAAATAATATATTAACATATTCCTGTGGTGAACATCTACGATAACTTCCCCTTGGTGCTTTTCATGAATTGGACCAACAGACATTCGAGCGCTCTAATATACAAGGAACTATGCTAGGAGCTGCTGGTTCATAATAAGTAAAACACCATTTCTGCTCTTAAGGGACTCACAGTCTAGTGGTGAGCCAGCTGAGTGAACAACTTATTGCAATACAATATAAGATTTATAACAGAAGTGTGACCAAAGTACTGTGGGAATTCTGAGGAGGATAACTCAACCCACTGAAATCTTTTCAAGTTCACTTAGAAATTTTTCCCTCTCCAAGACAGATAAAGATGATAACTTTCTTAGTAATAAGTCTTCACACCTAAAACTAAGCTTACCTTCTGATGACTGAGAGCTGCAAGGAAGCAATGATGTTTCTCCAGCATCATTATGTCCCCTAGAATTCAGAAACACCACAGGTGATTTTTTTAAGGTGAAGAAAAATGTTAAAGCAATTACATTAAGCTCTGTGTATCTGAATGGCCAGTTCTTGACCCACTAGTGTTTTATATGCATATTGTTAATGTCACCACCAGATATTGAGGTATTGATGTGCTAAGTACCAGGGCTTTTGCCAGATGCCATAATAATGTACCCTGTAATGTATATGTTCTCACAGATACAGATTCTCAGTTCATAGTCTAATGATAAGAAGGCAAGAATTATTGGGCTGAGTAATAAAATTGTCAGGATGGGTAATTAGTACCTACTGCAAGTATTAACTGAACTGAACTGAACTGCAGGTACTAAGAATTGGAGGGGCTTTTTTAAAAAACTAAATATTTTAGATAAGGAAATAGAATTGGGTTGATAAAACCTTATAGCAATTTCAAATAAAACATAGAAAAATAATACTTGGAATGGGGCCATGCTACCTTATTGAGCATATCAAGAAAAGCTGGCTCTTTCTTTAGGCTGACATAGCCATAGACCAGGGCTTTGAAGGCAGTGAATGGTTTGGATTTCTGCTTATCCTTCAGCCAAATATTTTTATACAAGTATATGTGGTCCCAAAGTTTAGAAGATGGACATGAAAAAATGATGTGGAGGCCAAAATGACTTCTAACAACTATGTGCTTATTTGCTCAGCTGTATCCAACAAAAGTCTTTGGAGCCCCATGGACTGTAGCCTGTCAGGCTCCTCTGTCCATGGGGATTCTCTAGACAAGAATACTGGAGTGGGTTGCCATGCCCTCCTCGAGGGGATCTTCCCAAGCCAGGGATTGAACCCGGGTCTGCCACATTGCAGGCGGATTCTTTACCGTCTGAGCCACTAGTGAAGCCTTCTTACAATTATAGACAGTTTAAAGCCACATCCACAGTGTTTTTTGGAAGGACAAAAGGCGGCCATGAAGGGTAGGGAAAAACTGTTCTGAATAAATGCATCTACTGTTACATTTTATACCAAGCCAAAAGAAATTTATTACAAAAGGGCAAACTTTTAGCTTAATTCTGAGAACTAATGCCAATGAGCAGTGAATGAATTACTCAAAATATATGTTCAAGTTACAAAGCCAGGGGATCACATGGGTTTTTTTTTAATTGAAGTATAGTTGATTTACAATGATTCATGTGTATAGCAAAGTGATTACACACACATATATATTTTCTTTTTCAGTTTCTTTTCCATTATGTCATAGGTTATTAAAAGATATTGAATATAGTCTCTGTGTGATATAGTAGGTCCTTGTTCATCTATTTTATATATAGTAGTTTGTATCTATTAATCATCAATTCCCAATTTATTCCCCCCCTTTCTTCTCTGGCAACTATAAATTTGTTTTCTATGTGAGTCTCTTTCTGTTTTGCAAATAAGTTCATTTGTGTCATTCTTTAATTAATTATTTTTTTGGAGGGTAAAATCTCAATTTTTTATTGAGGTATAATTGACATAACATTATATTAGTTTCAGGTGTACAAGATAATGATTTAATATTTGCATATACTGAAAAATGTTCACCACAAAAGTCTAATTAACACCTGTCATTACACATAGTTGTAATTTTTATCCTTGTGATGAGAACTTTTTTAAAAAATTATTTTTTTGAATTGGAGTATAACTGCTTTACAATGTTTAGTTTCTACTGTATGTGTAATTTTTAAAGATTCTATTAATATATGTAAGTGATATCATATATTTGTCTTTCTCTGTCTGACTTACTTCACTTAGTAGGATAATCTCTAGGTCTACTCATGTTGCTGCAAATGACATTAACTCAAGTTATAAAGCCAGAGAATCAAATAGTTTCAATGATTTAGCAAGATGAAAAGAGGGAAACAAAGATACTCATTTGAAATTAATAAAAAGGTTTTAACAACATAAAATATTACTTACCAAACTAAAGTGTTGACAGACACAATATATTCCAGTTCTTTGGTCCAAGGATTTGTGAAACTAAACCACTGGCTTTTTAAAGTTACAAAAGACCCATCTTTCGCTCTGAATTTGTACGAATCTATAAATATTTTCTCTTTACTCTGTAGAACTTAACAAGAAAAGATAATAATCAGCATAACAGTTTACCACTGTATAAATCAGTCCTTTAGGGATTAGCTCAAGGTTCAGATTTCACAGGAATGAAAAATTAAGAGTTGAAGCTATAATTAAAAAGTACTAAAAGACAACCCCACTCAAGGCATACCTGCTTTGTGCTTGTCAGTCAAATTACTATGGTCATCCTGATGAAAATATTCATAACAAGAAGTTCCCAAGAGTTCCTGAGGCAGATATCCTAAAATTGCTGTTGCCCTAGTTTTAAAATTAAAGGTAAAGTTCAGAATTGGTGAATGTTTCCCCTTCTGGAAGATTGCTTTTCCACACATGGTCAGGACAGTAGAGACGTGGACCAGGAGATGAGTAACCCTTAGCATCACTGGGCTCCCTTTGGCTGCCCTAGATCCAGATTAGAGTTGCAAAGCAGAATGGACACCCAGGCACCAGGCTGCTCCAGAGGCCACCTACCTAATCCACAGTATGCTGGTCTCACCATGCATCAATAAAACTGTGGCCATAGGCCCTGCACAGTTTCTGCACCACTGGCTAAGAAATATTTTAAGTTTACAATTTGGTTACAGATGTATCCATATCCTTATTTCATTTAAGCTTTATTTCCTATTCTAAAGCTTAAAAAAAAAAAAAAATCCAGCCATGCTACTAAGCCACATCTTTAGTAGCCTTAAATATCCCATTGAACTCTAATCAGTATGGCAGATAAATGTTTACCTTTGATCAACATAGACAAATTTTCCATTAACTGCAAAACGGGTAATAAACTCAGCTGGTTTCACTTTAATTTCGCCACTGTTCTGTGGGACAATATGTGGACGTAGTCTTCCAACAGCAACAAGGCAGGTGAAATTACTCCTGTCTTTCTTATTGTCCCTTTCTTCTTCCATTCCAGCAATATTTGGAGGCCAGCTTCTCAAGTAACCAGTGCAGTGGATAGTACAGAATTTTCTGTGATCTAATTCAAAGGTTTAAAAAAAAGAGGATTTGTCAACTACATCGCAATAAAACTAAAAAAAGATAAAAATTTTAAAAGCATTTCAATCATTATGAATAAATTCATCACACTAACATTTATATTAGTTATGATTCTGCTATGAAATAGCCTTTATGCTAAATATGAAAAGGAAATAGGTTGGCATTAAAAAGAAAGCATCGATCATGTTTACTTAACAACTTAATTCCTAATGGGTTATTTTTCTCAAGAACTAAACTATATGTCCTATATCAAAAGGATTGTTTTAATTTCAGTTTAAACAGATCCATAGCTAATTCATTATTTCCAAGTTAATTTTTTAAATTACAGTAATTTATATGTTAAAAACTGTTAAACTTCATACCCCCTTGCTCTTTGCTACATAAGTATTATTTTCAGCTTATTTAAATTTTGGTATATTATAATTTATATTCATAAATTTAAAGGACACATGAATATATTCTTAAATTTCTTATGTTAGTATTTATAATGGCTAATAGATACATATTATAATATATTATAGAAATATTTCAGGGAACATTCAGAGATATTTATCATAAAATGTATAAAAATAAAATGACTAAACTTTCAAAAAAAATCTTAAGCAATTAAGTCATAAGAAAACACTCATCAAACAGATTCAACCAGGAAAATTAAAAATTGGAAATAATCCATATGTGCAAATATCAGGAAATGCTTAAGAAAACAATAACAGTAAAAAAGATAGGCAGTATACAGATTATGGCAATCTACAAAAAATTAACTTAAAGGTAAAAAAGAGGGGAGGAAAAAAAACAGTTGTTTGTGATAAGATTTAGGAAAGACCAGAATAGTCACTGTTGTTAGTTGGCACTTTTTGCTCAGACTGTTATTACAAATCTTCAAAAACATTTTTTTGATGGAAGATGATACGGGCTGTCTTATTAAGATAGCAACTAATAATAATAGCAAAGGTGTAAAGAACACTTTACATGCCATGCTCTAAGTTCTCAGTATAATTCATTTAATCTTCTTAATTGAAAGACACTTGCTCCTTGGAAGAAAAGCTATGACAAACTAGACAGCATATTAAAAAGCAGAGACCTCACTTTGCAGACAAAGGTCCATTTAGCCAAAGCCATGGTTTTTTAGTAGTCATGTATGGATATGAGAGTTGGACCATAAAGAAGGCTGAGTACCAAAGAACTGATGCTTTCAAACTGTGGTGCTGAAGACTCTAGGGAGTTGCTTAGACAGCAAGGAGATCAAACCAGTCAGTCCTAAAGGAAATCAACCTTGAATATTCACTGGAAGGACTGATGCTGAAGTTGAAGTTCCAATACTTTGGCCACCTGATGTGAAGAGCCAACTCACTGAAAAAGACGCTGATGCTGGGAAAGATTGAGGGCAGGAAGAGAAGGGGGTGACAGGGGATGAGATGGTTGCCTGGCATCACTGACTCAATGGACCTGAGTCTGATCAAACTCTGGGAGATAGTGAAGGACAGGGAAGCCTGGAGTGGCTCAGTCCATAGGCTCACAAAGAGTCAGGCTTGACTGAGTGACTAAACAACAAAAACAATATTTCTGTGAGAGGTTCTAATACTACCCCCGCCATCTTAGGAAACTGAGAGTTACTGCCAAGGTTATAGCAGGGAAGGCTGGAGCTTGGGGTTTCCATCCAGACAGGCTGCCTCCAAATCTCCCTCTCTGAACCACTGTTCTGGTGCTATTTGATGGAAGTGAGTGCTGTCACAGCAGGTATTCAAACAGGAGCCTGAGTGATGGAGAGGGAGGGCTATAAAAAGGTGCTCCAATAGGGAACAGCCAGTGCAAACAGAGTCAAGAGTGAGCAGTCAGAAGTGGCTGGGGCACCCTCTGTCATGGGGAAGTGTCTGGAGAATAAACCAGGGAACCGACAGTTTAGCTCTCGTGAGCCCTGCACAGCGTTAGTTAGTTACTCAGTCATGTCTGACTCTCTGTGATTCCGTGGTCTGAAGCCCTCCAGGTTCCTCTGTCCATGGAATTCTCCAGGCAAGAACACTAGAGTGGGACCCTTCTCCAGGGGATCTTCCTGACCCAGGGATGGAACCCAGGTCTCCTGCATTGCAGGCAGAGTATTTCCTGTCTGAGCCAAAGGACCTTGTATTCAACCCTCAACAGACATCAACACTCTCCACAACCCACTGCTACTGCTACTGCTAAGTCACTTCAGTCGTGTCCGACTCTGTGCAACCCCATAGACAGCAGCCCACCAGGCTCCCCCGTCGCTGGGATTCTCCAAGCAAGAAGGCTGGAGTGGGTTGCCATTTCCTTCTCCAATGTGTGAAAGTGAAAAGTGAAAGCGAAGTCGCTCAGTCATCTCACAGATGCCTTAAATTACAAGTTGTTATCTTTTTCAACCCCAAACCAAGTCTTGATCACTTCTTCCCTACCCTGCTTTATGGCACCACAATCAACCCAGGTAGTTAAATAAAAAATCTGGGCTCCTCCCTTTACCTCACCCAATATCCAAGATAACTTAAAGGAATTAAAGATTAGCATAAATACAAGGTTTTCATTTATACTAACAAAACTAGATCACAGTCAAAAATAAAAAGGCTGGGGCTTCCCCGGCAGTTCACTGGTTAAGACTCTACCTTCCAATGCTGGGAGCACAGGTTTGATCCCTGGTCAGGAAACTAAGATCCCACATGCCACGCAGTGCAGCCAAAATTTGAAAAATAAAATAAAAAGTAAAAAGGCTTATGCCTGTGACAACATTGGCGGACCCTGAGTGTATTATGCTGAGTCAGATGGAGAAAGACAAGCATCCTATAATTTCACTCATATTTGGAATATGGAAACAAAAAACAAAATAAATGTACAAACCAAATCAACCAAAAACACACACATAAATAAAGAGAACAGAGCAGTAGTTACCAGAGGGGAAGGGGAGGAGAGGAGGACAAAGTGAAGGCAAATCAATTGTATGGTGAAGGATGAAACTAAATCTGAGTGGTGAGCACACTGTAATGTATACAGAACTAGAAATACAATGTTGTACACATGAAACTTATATAATGTTATAAACCAAAGTTACCTCAATACAAAAAAATAAATAAATAAACTTTAAGAAAAGCTTATAGGGACTTCATGGTGGTCCAGTGGATAAGACTCAGTGCTCCCAATCCTGGAGGCCTGGGTTCAATTCCTGGTCAGGGAACTAGATCCCACATGCTACAAGCAACTAACACCTGGTACAGCTAAATAAATAACTAAATGTGAAAAAGGAAAAGGCTTATACACTGAGTTAACCATTTCTGATTTCTTGCAAATTTACAAAAGATACTAGCTAAAAATATTCTGTGTGCATGTGCTAAGTTGTATCTGACTCTTTGTGACCCCATGAACTTGGGCCTGCCAGGCTTGTCTGTCCATGGGATTTTCCAGGCAAGAATACTGTATTGGGTTGCCATTTCCTATTCCAGGCTCAACTGAAAATACAGATTGGAAAGTTTTATATTAATCTATGGAATCTCATTCTATAGAACGTAGCCTTTGACTTCAGTTCTCTAACAATAGGGTTACCAACAATTTCTAAGTTACCCTGTTCCTCAGTTCCCACCTTGAACATTCATTCAGTTGGCAGATTTCTAGATGGGATTGTGTAATTCCATCTACTGATGGAATTTGATCCATTTGATCAATTATCTAAAGTTTAAGAAAATCCCCAAATTTTATCCCCAAAATTCTTTAGACTTTTACCTAAATATTAGGATCATGGGCCTCAAACCTTACCAAATTATTTACATTAGCTCCACAAGGTAGATTCATACGCAATCTACTCCATGATTTTAAAAAGGAAAAAAAAAAAATCCAAGCACTGATACAAGCCACAGGACAGCTTTTCAAAATCCTTTCAAAAGGACTCAAAAGCCTTTATGAACGCTTTCTTCCAGAAGTTGCGGGCTGGGTCTCTCAACTTGATATCTTGCTGGCTTAGTTTGAATTCTCACAGAAGCTGATCCTGAGACAAGGATTTAAGTACAAGAAGTAGGTTTGGGAGGTGCTCCTAGGGAGCTCAGTCAAGAAAGTAAGACAGGGAAGACAAAGAAACTAATAGTAGATCCATTTTCCAACAGGTCGCCACTTTGAGAAAACTGAAGCTTAATCTATTGGGGCATTCTGGGAGAGAAATGGAGACCAAAAACCTCGGAGTTATGTGGCCTGAAGTGCCTCAAGGAACAGGAGAGCAAGGATATTGAGAGTTAACTTAGGCAGGTTGATAAGGAGCCCAAGCCTAAGGCCCTTTCAAGGAGGAGGTAAACATTCTTTCTTTTTTTACATTCTTTTGCCTTAGACAAGATACTGTTCATGGGCAGCCGTATCTCTTGTTCAAGGACATGCTTTTTTTTTTTTTTTTTTTTTTTAGTTTTGGATGTATGTTATGGGAGAAGGTCTGGGTAAAAACTTCATAGTCTTGAGCTCTGGGTTTACCTGTTCCTTCTGGCTAATCTCATGCTGATGTCATTCCAGGATGTATGTTATGGGTTATATGTTCCAGGATGTATGTTATGGGAAAGGGTCTGGGCAAAATTCTCACAACCCTTGAGGTATTTTTTTTATCTATTCCCAGCAGCTACTTGAGAAGTATATAAGGCCCCACTTAAATTAGTGAGGCGGGTACTCTCCTGCCCCTTTCTGTTGTCTATCAGATGTCAGAAGGTTTTTTTTTGTCACTTTCACTTTAAATCCACACAAAGCTCTGAGTGACTGAGACTGTCTTTGGTCCTGAAGTTAAATCTCTTTCAGAGACCACGAATCCGGTGCCACCGCTGACTGTTCATCACTAAGATATCAGTATTTATATATCAGCTGCCCTCGGTCAGTGGATGGGGGATGCTCCCAGGCAGCGCTGCCCGCCAGGAGTGGAGGCCCGCCTCCTGCTGATACAGGCAGAACTGTCTCTAAGGACCAGAGAAAGAGGTCAAGTAGAGGGTCACGAGTGTTGGACAGTGGAAG